AAGTACTCGTCACCATGTTCCCCAAGGGATGGGCCCTAACCGTAGCTGAAGCCCGGTAGACCTTTAAAAACAAATAAATATATAAAATACTCAAAATTCTAACAGAAATGCTGGTTAGCACCGATTAATCCCAAAAAGGCTCTAGATTACTAATTATTGCTAGAAGTTAGAATAATTGGGGGGATCAAGTGGGCTAGATTGCTGGCACATGTGACTTAGAATCATGTACTTAGTTTGACTACGATAGTTACCTTAATTAGTGCGCTCTACAACCTAAATGACCGAGGTATCATTATTTCCTTCACAATTGCGCATCAACTTCTTTCTGTTGATGTGGCTATTCGTTTATTTATTTATTTTTGAGGTTTCATAGGATACGTCCATAATGTATTTCGATTCAAGGGCTGCTGGGGCCAGCTAGAATCGTATCCAATGATGTGCCCCACTAGATCCTAGCGCGGTAAACTCCATAAAAAGATACAATATGAGATCAACAGTCCAAATACAAGTCCACTTAACAAGACCACAAACTTCTCTTCGAATCCTAAGTATTTACCTAGATCTGAAGCTGAACTGGAATAACCAAATCAAAATTAAACAGGCCAAAGCAGAATCACAGTTGGTAGCTCTGAGTAGATTGACATAGTTGACATTGGAGCATCTTTCCACAAATAATTGCAAGTATACAACGCCATAGTCCGACCAGCTTCTGTCAATGGGCCACCAATTTGGGTGGAGGCTGGGCCCAAAAGCAAACCCCTGGAGAAAATAACTAAGCCCCTAGGAAGTATCCTAAGGAAATATCTAAAACTTGGAACAGGAGCATGCAAATCAACTAGCTGTAGGATACTAGAGCATAAAACCTCAACCCTGCCAGTAGAAATACACCTCAAGCATAAGAGGCTTCAATATATAGGGATATCGAAAAACTTGCCGGCTCATGGGACAATTTTATCAGTATGCAGGAAGAGCAAACCACCAAAGACCAGAATAAAAGACACATGCGACCGAACAAAAGTTAAGGAATTCTCCGACAGGGAAATGATTTGTGGGAACAACGACACCAAGAAACGACAAAAGTCGCAGCTTTCCAATAATGGGAAAGAGACTGGATAAAGCAATCAACAAAGCAGTCATCTATTTACCGAGCGATTGCAGACCCTAACACCTGGACAGCAGCGAACATACTTTTTGATAACAAGAGGGGAAGCACATGAATGAACTACAGAGGAACACCCTTAAGTATCCATTAAGCCTGAATAAGGCCCAAAGTAGCATAGCCATGCGGATGAGAAGTGAGACAGTTGGGCTCAACCCTTGTCTGTACACAAGATATGTACCTGTAGAGGACAGCCCACGATGCTAATGTGGAAATCCGTCCTAAAATTTCAAGCACATGATCATGGCCTACTCTAACTGAGCTACAGAGAGAGGGGAGATATTGGGAAAGGCAGATAATCGGCCATTCGAAGCGATGATGGATTACACGAACGATATAGCAAGGATTACAATGTCGATAAAACATGAAGGGAGATTCGAGCAGTTTCGACCGACACTTGAAGTCGAAGCCACGATGAGGGACAGAAAAGAGAGTGGGGGAAAGACGATCTCCTACTGGTAGTAAGGAAGTGGACGGAATTTGCACTGAACCTTACAGTGTTAGTGCACTTCTCAAAGGTAACACAACATTAAAGTGTAGATAAACTGAAAAGTTGAGGGGATTTTTACCACTACGACTTCCTCCTATGTAAATATTAGAGCTCGTAGACACCTGCATGGGCCTTAAGGCGCCAAATCAGGCTGAACGAATTCAAATTCAAAACTACTTGGTTGATTATACAGTGTTAAATTAAAAACAAAACAAACACTTGGTTAATTTTGCTAAGACTGGGAAACAGATCACACAGAGTAGTGAAGGAAATCATGATAGAAAACTGGATCAGTAGTGACGGCAAAGGGAATATTTATTGTAATGAATTTCCTGCGGTAAATTACTATAAAAAAATTCCTTGTGGTACTATTTACATGCGTTATCCGTAATTATCCTCGTCCTTTACAGTCTATCCTGTGGTCCAGTACCGGCTGTTGTAGGCATTTATGCATAAATAGACGTGCTAGGAAGCTGGCTTTCCCCAAACCTCTATAAGAGCCTTATCACGAATAGAGCCGGGTTGGATCGAATTAACTACCAAAAAATACAGGAGCTTCAATCCTACCTGAATGAGCGAACCATCCAAGACTTAACCCATACGTTGAACATGCCAAGCTCGGATTCCTCCTCAGACTCGACCGTGGCATGTTCCAATCCGTTACATCTTCCCAATTTCTAACTTTTTGTCTCTTCATAATCCCAGTTTTGCCTTGACCCAGCATCTACTTGCCTCGTCCAGGGATATTTCATCATGGACACCTCATCCGGTAGCCCATGGAGATTTACTCCTTCATGCCTAACTTTTGGTCCTCTATCTTGAGTTCTCATCTCTTCCGACAACGTCGTCATCTCCGAAACTCAGAAAACCGTCCTTCTTTCCAGCCTTACCCTGTCGTTAGTCTACCCCTTGCGATGGGGGCGGAGTATACGAATCGCTCAAGATCGAAGCATCAGCATCCAATCCAATTTCAATATTCTAGGGATTGAGCCGGCGCAACATCGTACCTATTATGTTAATCGGAACTCACCGTAGGTCGCGTGGGTTGTGACCTTGGCCGAGGTATAGACGAATTCAGTGCTGGTGCTTCGGCCGTACCATCTCAGCCTTCGGCAGGTGTTCAGGTTTGGGCCTCCGTCTATTTGAGTGCTTCGGGGGATGGCAGAATAAATTAAGATGTTTCATATCTTCCAAGTAAGATAAAGACAGTGAAGAATGCCAGTTGTTGTAACACGAATTTGAATTTTTATTTGAAATCTTTTACGTGAAAGGAAGAGCCTAACATCTATTTAGACGTGACAAGGGTAGATGGGCTATGAAAGCTCATTGCTACCTACATGACCGGCAGTGAAGCCAGAAGCGACAAAAGAAAAGGAGATTAAAAGGTAAAGTAAATGTCTGAGATACGGTGCCCTGCGCCGCATCCCTAACTTTCACACCCATCTTCTCTCAGGTCAGAAACAATCTCAGCGTGGTCACCTCCCACCCTGTTCATTCTTCAGCAGACTGTAACATCTGCTTGTAGTTAAGAATTGAATGAACTTCTGCCATCCCTTCTCCCCTATCATTTATCTGGCCCCAGGTGGGGCCATTTTCTCATAGCTTCTCCAACGTAGCAAAGCTAGTCGGCACTCTGAAAAATGCCAGAGCCTTTTCTCTCAGCTGCAAACACATTTCAGATCATCATGTTCGGGGTTGAGACGTCGGTAATAGTCAGCATAGTCCCCGTGGCCTGTTCTTGCCGCAATAAGACGATGTTACGCCCATATTGATAAAGCTAGTTCCGGTGATCTTTTGCAACGCATTAATAGGTCCAAATCTTTGTACCGCTTCGGTCGATACTTCTGCCACCACTCTTCCACGAGCTCTTGGCTGCGCTATTTAACCCACCTCCCTAATACCGCAAAGGTTAGATCTTGATCTTCTCCACTGGGCACGGCTGAGGTTAGTAACCGGTTACTAGGAGTTCCCAAGGCTGATTTTGCCAGCTTATCGGCCTCTTCATTGCCTTGAATCCCCACATGCCCGGGTATCTAGCGTATTTCCACACGCTTATTGTGTCTCAGCGATGAAAACTTGTCCACCACTGACTGCGAGGAGTTAGATCTTCCTCTTTCGAGCGCCAGGGCGGCCACTTGGTTATCCAGAAGAATGCAGATTGGTAAGTCTTCTCCTACCTCTATTGCAGCCTTCAAGGCTTTTGTGGCGCCTACAACTTCTGCGTCGAATACCTCTGCTCCGGGAAGTGGACCGGAACCACTTCCAACTAGCTTGCCTTCTTGGTATACTACATACCCCCAGGTTGATTTTCCGGGACCCGATGATGATCCATCTGAGAAAGCGCAGACCGTGTTAGCTGGACGGGAAGCTAACCATCGCTCTATGCTTCCAGACCTAGTTTCTTTTTCTCGACTACATGGAGTCGATGCTAGGGTTCCAGGTGAGAAGTAAAGCTTTCCAGGGCCTTCGGCTGTCGGAACTCGATGCACACTTATTTGTAGGCGTGTCATATAACGTTCTGGTTGACTGAACAAGCTATTTCTTTGTCCCGATCTAAGTCTTAATCCTCTTATTGCATCTTTCGGGTCCTCAGCTGCGCGAAGGGCTAGAGGGTGCCAGATATCCATTCTTCGCATACGAGCTGCGGACCATAGCGTCTTTTGCTGAAGAATTATCGATGCCGGGAGTATTCCCGCTTCACGATAAAGAGCGCTATTGGAAGTGCTTCTAGGATAGCTTTCATTATCGTTTATCCAGTAGAGATAGATGCCAGCCTACTCTAGTGCCGAATTCTTCATCTCGCAGTGAGTTTATTCGAGTGAGACCCGGCCACCACGCTTCTGCCCCATATAGAGCTGTACTCAGAACACATGCATGTACTGCACGAATCAGAGTTCCGGATGCTGCTTATTGTAACACGAAGATTAGGTAGGATCGAGCCTGCGCAAGATGAGTTTTTGTGGTTAAAATGATTGTCATCGCTGATTTGTGCAGGCATGAAATGTGCAGATTGGGTTTTGGACATGTTGCCTGCGTCACTCATTCAGACCGCCACTTGTGAGATAACTCTGGTCTACACCCTTTATCTTAACTAGAATTAGTCGCTGAGAGTGTATTTTAGCCCCGTGTTCGTGTAGTATATCTCGACAGTTGGTACGCTTTCGCTTATGTAACTCACAAACCGATGACTGTATAACTTGTCGCGCAAAGGTATTCGAACGCTAGTCTATTTATAGTAAGATTTCTTTCAGCCGTGCCAAAGAGGTAGATGTTCGAATATTCCTTGCACACTCGCATGGAGATTGATATTAGGCCCAACACAAGGCCTGATTACAATAGGGTGCGGGAGCCATGATGATAGGATCCCTATTGTTGGACAGGTTTGCATTTGGGCTTAGGTGCTATTTTCTTTCAAAGAATTGTTTACGACTCAAATCCGTGGCGCGCAAGGCTCAGAATCAAAATATTCGATCTTTTTACACAACCCAGCGCTTCAGAATCGAATCTAGCCTTCTTGAAGAATCCATCGTCCCGTTTCGTAAACATATCAAGGATTTCCAGAAAGAGCAAAGACGAAAAGAAGCAAGTGCCCCCAAAAAACCCAAGGGTAAAAACCAGAGAGTAGAAGGCTGGAAACTTTCTGTAGGCATCGAAATTCACGCGCTTCTAAATACTGAGCGAAAGCTATTTTCATCGGCTTTCTCTACTGTCAACAATATAGCTAATACTCAAGTTGCTCTCTTCGATGCGGCAATACCGGGATCACAACCAAATTTCCAAAAAGAAACCTTAATACCTGCGATTCGAGCAGCCCTAGCACTCAACTGCAAGATTCAGACAGTTAGTAAATTTGACCGCAAGCATTATTTTCACTGGGACCAACCTGCAGGCTATCAAATCACGCAGTATTATGAGCCACTTGCCAAAAACGGATATATCAGGCTATATTCGCACGATGGTATCGCTAACGAAGATGGAGACCAAGTTTGTGTGAAAATAAAGCAGATACAAATGGAACAAGATACTGCCAAGACCATAGCATTGCCCGCAGGATATCTTGTAGACCTGAATCGAGCTGGGCTTCCCTTGATCGAAATAATAACAGAGCCAGAAATACACTCTCCACAAACAGCAGCAGCATTAGTTCGTAAGATCCAGATCCTCCTTACTGCTGTAGATGCATGCGTTGTGGGAATGGAGTTCGGTGGGCTACGGGCTGACATTAATGTCTCCGTCTCTAGAGAAAATATCGATCCAAATCTTCAACATGGACAAGTCCCAAAACTAGGACAAAGAACAGAAATTAAAAATTTGTGTAGTTTTAAGAGTATTGAAGACGCAATAATTGCAGAGCGTGACCGTCAGATTTCAATACTTGAGGGCGGAGGTACAATTGATGGCGAGACAAGAGGATGGAAGATTGGTACTACCATGACAAAAAAATTGCGGGGAAAGGGAAGTGAGGTTGACTACAAGTATATGCCAGACCCCGATCTTCCGCCAGTTATCATCGGTGAGGATTGCATCTCCCATCTCAAAGCTACCCTTGGCATCCTTCCAGATGAAGAGCTTAACCTTCTGATTAATGAGTATGGTCTAGTGGTAAAAGATGCACTATCTTTATTATCACTTGAGAACGGGGGCCGGGCTGAGTACTTTTACAAACTAGTCGATAATCTTCAGCAGCAACTTCCTAGCACTAGCTCTCAAAATATTGGAAAGCTTTGTCTCAATTGGGTCATGCATGATATGGCAAGTCTCAGGCACGATGAGGCAGATATTGTAAATCCTCTCAATATGGATCCTCGTGGAAACTGTATAATTCCACATGAGCAGCTCGCAACACTACTGTTTCAGGTAGAGACAGGCCGACTACTACGAAAACCTGCTAAATTTGTTCTCCGTGAACTTTTTCGTAGCTTGATCGAAGGAAAGCCTACGACCGTGCTTGAGATTATCGACAGGGAAGGCCTTTGGGGCCACTTAATAACTGTGGATCAGTATCGAAAGCTAGCTCGGGCAACGTTGAGCAGGCATGAGAACATTTTAAAAGTTGTGCTGGAAGGTAATGATACGAAGGTTAAGTTCCTATTAGGGACAATGTTAAAAGAAGATGAAAAGGGAGCTATGGATCCTATTTTCGCCGAAAAAGTACTCCGTGAAGCTATTAAAGAATGTGGAGAATCTGTATAATTTTCTACAATTCACATTTATGCAGCTAGATTCCAGACAAGTTCGGTGTAACTCCTCGCCGACTTCATTTTATAGATATAACTGAAGTCAACCGGCCCATTATATATCCTTGTTAATAGTCTTAGTTAGATTTCAAATGACGGCAGGGTTGACAAAAGTCTTAATCGGACGTGGAAAAAACTGATGCGTCGATTAGGTTGTGTACTGCACCTACAGTAGTGTTTGTGGCTAGTAAGATAGATTGAGCATGTGTTCTATCTAAGGGACCTTCCGCCCAGTTACGGGGCCATAGAAAGACATAAAAGTCGCTTAGAGTGGGACTCACTCTCCGTGGCCGCTCCTGATTGGCCAATGGTTAAGAGATAACCGTGTTCCCTGATGCAGTTGCCTCCAATTTGTTGACATTATGTTATTTTAACAAACTGACAAGGGCGTAAATAAGCCTAACTCGTATTTTCACAGAAATGTACCCAGGATATACGGTCAAAATTATCAATGTGGATGTCAATCACAGAACTCTAAGAACATGGATACGTCTTGCCCTCGAAGGTCAAATAGTAGAGGAGAGATTTGGAGAGAGGACGAGAACTGGTCCTACGAAGCCACAACAAATAATCATAGCGAGATCAAAAGAATCGCTCAGAGGATTCTAGATGATAGCTGAGTAGGGCAATACCAGACGACAAAAACGGTCGAAATGCTGCTGAGGGAAATAGACAGGGCGAGCTTTTCTTGGGGAATAGTCGAGAGGATGTGATTTGCTCAATTGGATGGCTGTAGGGTGTAATTGCGCTTTGTGAGGGGAAAATAGGAAAACCAAAGATAATAAACAGAGAGGTTTGCTCACGTGCAAACATTAGAGTTCATAGACACCTGCATGGGCCCACAGAGCGCCAAGTCAGGACATTGAAAGCGAATTCAAATACCCTGACTCTCAAGGCGATGACGTTGGCCAAGGTGTGATTGAGTTTATGAATGAGGAATGCTCCCAATTTATCCTGTACAATAGAATAATTATCTGACTTTGGATTCCAAGTTGCTCCAATGTCTGCCACCATCAATTGATCTCGGAGTACTATTCCCAACACATACCCCTATCACCATTACCATGAAGCTAATCACGATCAGAATAGGTGGTTAGGTCTAGGCACTTCTCATCACCAACCCTTGATTATGGGTGAGAAGCCATCCGATGAATTTCCGGGTCGTACCCAGCACCCGATGCGGAGAGGGTGGATTGGATCAAGTCGGCCTCCAATGTTACAAAGAAGGGAGATGTAGATGGACGTGCGCGCCTCATGTGGTCCCGATGTCTAGGCCTCTTTTTTTTTAATTCATATTGTATTCAGCTATTTAGCTATGATAATATGTCTAGGCCTCGCCTGGCTGGGGCTGCAGCTTTTTTGAGACTTTTTCCCGCGCACGCAGTTTCCATTGCTACCTTTTTTTTTGGGTAGAAAGTTCCGTGGAAAACCTGGCTAAATTCCACAGTTAAATACTGAGCTGAATGGCGATTCATCACGGGCAATATATCAATGATCTTTCAAGGGACATGAGAGGCGAGGTGCACTGATATTGTGTCATAGCTAGATAGCTGCATACGCAATTTAAATCTGATAACAAAAAAAAAAGTAAAAGGGATGGGAAGCATAGTACAAGATTTTCACTAGGTCAGAGAGATGGCCAATTTGCTAGAGAGAAATAAAATTTAGAAGTATAATAAACAAATATATAAAAATCTCTTTGAATTGATCTCACGACACCCACGCCATGCAGCTGCTCATGTACCTATAAATAGCCTTAAGCGCCTCCACACTGGACATGAAACCCCTATACCATACACCAGATCGTGTCAGAAACCTAGATTACATCAGGCTCATCAATTCTAAAACACAATGCGTCTTCATTTCCAATAAGATGTCGTAAACATCGTCGTAGACGCCATTCGCGACGACAGCTCAGCAACGAGTTTAATCAATACAGCAAGGGTGTATGAATCTTAGCATTTTTTTGCGTCAAATCTTATTTGCATATGCAATTAGGCGCTAAAACAAAGGATAGGCCTGTTACTCCAAGGATGCTGGAACATGTCACGCAACTTTGGCAAAGTACTCGCCAATTGAAAGGTTGAAGGATGAACAGTTCACGAAAATTGACAGCTAAGGAGGTTATTTGAACGAGGCAAAAGAGATAACCGGCAAGATGGGAACCACAACTGATGATCTGACATGGAAAGAGGGTGGTAGATAGCCGTAGAGGCAGCAGCGACGTCTACTTAACGGTCATCCTTATTTCTTGAACTTCAAAGCAGCACTGGGTACCTGGCTCGAGTAGAAATGGCAACTCAGTGGGCAACAAGGAAGCGGCCGGTAGTGAAATTACATGATGTGTCACGGGTCATATCTGAAAAGCGATGAACAGTTATATAGAAGATGGAAGTTTATATTTCACCTGGTAACGAGCTTTCTAAGGAACCGGTTAGGTATTTATACGTTACTTTTCATGCCGCATTCGACTCTAATTCCAAGGAATTGTCATGGCTTATTGTCCTAGATGCTTCTAGCAACTACTCGTGTCGCCCCTGGAAGGTTTGCATTACTTTCCTGAAGGTTTCAGGCAGTCTCTAGAAGGTTCATTCTTCATTGCTAGAAGTTCTCAATGGCTTCTAGATGATTCCCGGTCATCTCCTGTCTAGTCGCGAATATCCCACCAGTAAGATATGTCAAGTAAGCATATCTAAGAATCTACGAGAATTTGTTAATTAATCTTATTGTCCTATCTGTGAAGGGACTTTGCATTTGTTGTTCACAATTATGGGTCCAAGAACGAATTTGGTTTTTATCTGAGGAGATTTACACGACGCGCGCGCAAGAATTTTTGTTCCAATCGAGCGCGTTTTGCCGTGACACTAGCGCGCTTGTGTTCATAGCCGGAGCCGTATAGTTCCGGATCCACATACAAGGCTATAGCCTGTAACACTATCTGAGTCTATGACAATGCAGGACATGCAGGTCTTCTCTGCCTGTAGACCAAGGTTATCTATACTAGTAGTGTATCCCCTCCTATGCCTCCCATGCAGCGAATCTACGAGAATGTTACCGTGAACCATTGTTGGAAGGCGAGTGCTGTCTGCGCTAGCCGGCATAAACCACAGGCATTAATCTGAATACTAACCGTCACAATATGGAATTGAAAAGCATGAATCTACAGCTCTGATTATATTTCGCCCTGAAGTCATTGGTCCCAATGCATGATTTGCATCCGTTAAGGTCCCTGCCTTACACCAAAGTGTATCTGTGGTGAGAACTTACAGACAGTTGAGCATACCCTCTCTCACTGTTCCCATCAATCAGCGCTTCGGAGTCGCAGGTTTCTGGAAGCCATTGACGCGGAGCCAGGGTGTACACAAGGGATAATACAACGAGTTTAACTTTCGAAATAATTTCACTAATGATATGACCTCACGCCTGCATGGACGTGTATATAGCAACTGTACTAGGCATTAAACAAGAATGCATATAATTGTGTATGCAGCTGTCTAACTATGCCACAATATTAGATTAAAAGTGAGTAATAAATGACTCAATTTACAAGAAGAGCACTCATGCCTCGGGTTTCTTTTACAATTACCGCTATGAAATTATGGAGGCTTTCTCTTCACGCCAACTCAGCCCTCGTCCGTGAATACCCACCTAGGGAAACCTTCCAAAAATCTATACTTACCCAGACATGCCTCCGTCGTCCACTGAATTTTCTCCACGCGATATGTGGTTTGAGAGGTCTCCCTCCCAAGTGGAGTAGGTGCTCAGGCTACTCAAACTACCCCGAAGAACACTACCAGAGGGCGAGCCACGCCACCTTTCATCGCAGATTTGTGTTTGAAGTGTTGGCTGGACTCTCACTATAGGATGTCTCGCGCGCACAATACTCTTCAATTTGTCAAACTCCTCGCCGAAATTCAACATTTCACACCCGTCGAGACGGTATCTTTCCCCTACATCATCTTGCAGACTTGTCTGGATTTCTCTCACGCCCATCCCCGAGAGCCTGCTGTCTAGACTTGTGCGCCACGATCTTTCTGCTCCTGCAGGTGTACATATCGGCGTGGCCGCGTATTTGATGGCCAGCTGAGGTCAGAGAATAGTCGATGAGTGGTGTGGTCATTAAAATCAGGATTTACTAGGTCTCACATGCAGTCTTGATGAGGCCCGGTAGATATTGATCTCGTTGGAAGTGAAGGATTGACGTGGCGTATCTTGAACCATTGCCTCCCGGACCATCTTTTTCTCTGTTGCGAAATCCGACTGAACTTGGCTCTGTGAGAACACTTCGCTTCTAGATTCGTAGAGGCCACTACGTATAGGTGCAGAGACTTCGTCCTTGGTCGCATACACTTTTATTACAGTGCACACCTCCCACTCTTTTAGCCGTAATCTATATCTTACACACTTCTGGTCAACCTCTTCTTTTGCTCCAGGAATATTGCAGCCATTTAACTGCGCGATATCTTCAACGCAGCCGGCAACTTGATATCGCCGGATAGGAAAAAAAACTTTATCAGCGTTTTATCCAACAGCTCTTCATGATCCTTTGCTCATTTTAATATTTTTTCAGTCCATGTTTCACAGTGCCGAGTTCTGGAGACATACACGAGGAAGCTATGAAGCTGTTTATGATAATCTCATATGGTGTGGCTACTTGTTATACTTGTTAAGATTATGAGCACATACGGGTTGAGTCTCTACCTTGGAAGGATGCTATATGTGTTCGTAGAACACCAACGTAGATATATAAAAGACTTGTGTTAACTGAGGAACACTTGTATTCAGATGACTTATTATTGCTCCTACTGCTAGGAGATGAATCTCATAATATACATCTTCTGGATAGCCATATCACAGTTCCTACACTATCCAGTACATTCCATTCCATTCTACTCCATACCATTCCATTACAAATCTATGATGCCCTAATTATGGGTTGCCCTCAAGTCCATGTCCTTGGACTCGCATGAAATATTGGCATGCATAAATCTGCACAGATCTGCGATCTCTTGGCAGATTATAACAATACTACTCCGATTTCCGAAGCTGTAGCAGTGGATCACAACTTTCCAGAATTATGCCGGATCAATGCCTTCCTGTAATACTAAGCCAGTGTAACAGTTTCATCCTATGAAGAATGGGTATTTGTATGAATAGAGGTAATTCACTAAATGCAGAACAAAACTGCTGCTACTTCCAATGCCTTATTTATGTGCATGATCCTTCTATTCTGAAGATAAGTAGCTCTCCTCCAGATGAGCCCCCATCATCAAGGTGTTAACTTGTTACCAACAAAGCTCCATGCTTGGGCAGTGTCTGATTGAGCATCAGGCTAACTTAGCGCTGACGCAATTTCTTCAAATATTTAATATCCTTTTGAGTGTATAAATGTACTCGGACATGTAGGTCCTTTCCGCCTGTATGCAGGGAGTATCTATGCCTCCTTCACGACTTATTTCCAGTAGTTATATCCCATAGGCCTTTATTTGAGTACGTAATATAAAGAGCCAATATCCTCTCATTATCTCACCTATTCAGCCAACGAAGCGGGGGTCTCTTACGGGTGTGTAGCTTCTGGCAAAATCTCAAAAACCAATGGGTGCGGGGATTTCCTACTACGAAGAGGCCGGCCAGCCGGGCGCAGCAGACCGGTATATACTCAAGAGTGTATCTCAATCTTCCTGGCCTCCTCTGATTTATGCTGCAGGACAAACCGGAGTTCATGGAAAGATATCAGAAAAGTCTTGGTCGAGAGTGACTGCCGTTAAAGAGCCTAGCCTAGCATCCAAAAGTCATTACGGACGTGGGATTGTCGAGTAACTCATATATTTCAGATGCCCTCCTGATTAGTAGATTCGGACTCAAAGGTTATAAGAGACGGTATTGTCAACGAGCCGAAATCAACCTTTCTTGAGGGCGAAAAGTCTTTTACTTTGCTTTCCTGGGCTTTTGCTTGTCCGCCGGTGGGTAGCATTTGATAGGGTATAGCAAGTGCTTCTCTGACTACCGTCATTGCGTTTGGTAACGCAGTATATTTCCTCCAACGCAGTATTAAGATTGTCGGCTTGGTTATCTTATGTGAGAGAGAGGTATGTTTATTGTACTTCTTGAGTCTTAGACTATCTAGCATATTGTGCTCCTCTCTGGCCCAGGCCGCACCTTGTGCAGTGATCCTTGCTTCTCTTGTTACTTGCAAGATCATTGATATATTGCCCGTGACGAATAGCCATTCAACTCGGTGTTTACCCATGGAATTCGGCCACCTTTTTCATGGAACCTTCTACCCAAAAAAAAAAAAAAAAAAAAATGGTAGCAATGGAAACTGCGTGCGCGGGAAAAAGTCTCAAAAAATCTGCAGCCTCAGCCAGGCGAGGCCTAGACACCGGGACCACATGAGGTGCGCATATTCATCAATATCTCCCTTCAATGTAACATTCGAAGTCATCTTGATCCAATCCACCATCCCCGTATCGGGTGCTCGGTACACTTCGGAAACTCGTCGGATGGCTTTTCCTCCATGACCAAGGGTTGGTAACAAGAAAGTCTTCGAGCCTACCATTTGATCTGATGGTGGTCAGCTTCATGATAATGGTGTTAGGGGGAAGTGTTGGGAGGCGAAGACGGTATAGACGGCGAAAGAGATTAGGAATTTCCATGGAAGTGAGGACTTTGTTACTCAATCTCGGCTCTGCAGACTCTACAGTGAGCGCTGGAGGTTCGCAGGGGACATTATTGACATGTGTTGAGAATAGTCAACATTTGCTGGTCCTAGTTCCTCACTTGCTTGAGAGACTTTACCCTCTCGCTAACAGTGTTCATGAGTAAATAAGAGAACGTGAAGACCTATGAATATTCCAACGTGTCTGAATTATCCCTTTTCATCAGACAGCTGCTCAAGATTTGCTAAAGATTTCCGTTTTGGAACTGGAATTTCTTTATATCGCATTAGATAGATGGCATACTTGTCCAGAATTAAATCGAGAAAGAAACTCGAGAAAAATACCAATTCACAAACTTTTCCGTGTATTACCTTTGATCTGTATCAGTCGAGCATATTTCATGTTTTTTGAAAAAATTCTTAGTGAATCTTCCTATTTTACATTTCTGAATGTATTACTGTGATCAACAGTGCTACAACTTTTGAAAAAGGTCTATTTATTCTTTGTATACTACTGCCTGCAGTAATTCACAAGGAGGAAAGCAAGATAAGCTATACTTTATCATCTGAGTTGTAACAATTAATCACATTCCCTTCACTAAATAGATATTGGCATAATATCGCCCTAGATTTTCGCACCCAATGGTTTTGAATGTTATCTAGCTTCAGTTTTTGTATATAGCTCAGATCTTTTATGGGCTGACTATATGACCTTAATGCAGGAACCAGCCTCTTATTGAAAGGAAACTACTTTCAACTAACGCTTTCCATGAGAGTGATAGCTGTTATTAGTACTGTGGTTATCTCATTTCAGGTCGAAACGAGCAACGTTCCTCAAATTGCTTTGAGGGCCTCTGGACTGATATGAACCAAGACCTGGTGACATGATTCGTGATGGATTAGGGCTGGATGGTGTGTTACCTTGGTAGCTTGCATCAATTAATTGACTTGGGCCCCTAGCCGAATTTGAGCTTTGATATGACCTCATGCTATTTGAGGTTCCAGTGCGCTGAGGTGGAGCATAGCCATTTGAGAAATTGTTTGGTACAGACGATACAAACGGAGCTGGTGAGGCCACACGGCTGATTCCCATTTGTGATGCGTAGTCCAACATAGGAGCATTTTGTTCATAAGAGGAGACTGAGGAGAAAGAAGCTGGACTACTTGGTCTATCTTGGAATCCAGGGCGATATACGGAGGGAAAGGCATTGCCCGAGGCCATTGATCGACTTGAATATTGAGATAGGCTCGTAACAGAGTCGTTACGGGTAACGACTGCAGGGCCGGAAAATTTTTCGTCCAATATTACAGGAAGCGTTGCTTGACGACCTTGAGTTAGGTTACCCTTTGCAAGAGCCTTTGGATCTACTTTTAATCGTTTTCTCTCCTCTTCTTCAATTGCTTTGTTGACCTTGACACTAACTATCTGTGAGAGTTGGGTATTAATCTTACGCTCACAGTAGCCGGATAGACCACCATCAGTATGTGGAATATAGTGCCATAGAAATAATACATAAAGTAGTACAGCGATGAGAAGTGAGAGAGCTCCAAGGGCCCAGATAACGAAGGTGAATACCATACCACAAAGGATTATAGACTGATGCTGTTCATGCTTAAAAAGCCAAGTGAGACTTTGAGAAACATTCAAAAAATCTTTACTTATATCTTTACTGTCTACAATAATGCGTTGTCCGAGAATAGAGTATAAAGTTATGGCATTAATAACTTGTCGAGGACCTTGACAAAATATAATCCGAATCCAAGCTACAAAGTTAGTTACGCTTGTCGAGAGAATCTAATGACCTACATTGGAAAGAAAAATACGTAAATAAGGCGACATACTCAACGCCCTTTTTAGATCTTGTTAGTTCGGCAAAGACTAAGAAACGTCTCCAACCTCTGCCTTTCCCAAGTCTCGTACTCTGGAGGCGAGCTGCGAGGGAGTCCAGATAACTTTCGGCCACGGCACCTCTTCTGATGACTCTGATCGCCCGAATGTGTTCAAAGGCCAAATTGACTAGCGAAGCAATGATACATGCGGAGAAGATCCAACGGGAAATGTCGATCGGAATCACAGGCTTAATCTCAGATGACCATTTGTGAAAGGCCAATAGATTGATTGCGGTAAAGATATCAACAGAGTAAACGGCCAAAGATACAGACAGTGATACCCAAAGATATCCATAGGCGAAAGGAGTCAAGTAAGATGTGGAGTGAAAATCATTTAAACTCTAAAAAAATATTAGCTAAAAGCTGTGGAGAATTCCTAGGACATCCAAAGCTTACGATGAACTCCCACTTTTGTTCCGGTCGAATATCAGCTGCCTTAACCCTCTTGGACCAGCAGCCCATTAGGACTGCAACTAAGAATACTTGGAATTTTAGTTTTGGTTATTTTGAAAGATGTAAAGGTGGAATGAATATCGATCACTAATTTTGTCTAAATATAATTTTGAAAGAGCGAACTGTCCGCCGGCGGCAAAGGCTAATAAGAAAGAGTGCACTGCCTGAATGCCACGATCGAGCGCTTGATTTTGTGTAACGAATGAAATAAAGTTGGTTGTTGAGTACGGTCAAACTAGAGATTAACTGTGAGTATGAAGATACACGTTAGCCGCTAGAGTTCACGCTGCAAGTTGACTACTTGAACCATCCAAAATTTGGAGGACAGGGTATTCTGTGGATCATCGCGTTTGGAACTGTCCGATATGCAGCGTCACATTCACACGAGTAATTTATTTGCTGCAATTTTCCGTCATGGAGGGTGTGATACATGTCGAGTAACTTGCAAGTTCTGTCATGGATGACTTCAATGACCGGAAACCCCCATCGTCTCAGTCTCATTAGGTTCTCGCTTATCTTAACCCGATAAGTCCAGCACGGACGTTCATGCAGAACGGCGTTTAATCATCAGCCCAGTCGAACCTTGTACAAACAAGCATCTGTGTGGATATCGTAATCGTCAAGTTTAGGGACGAGTTACATTCGAGATTTTATGACTATAGCAGTTAGTATGATTAGTTACAAACTAAGCGCGATCAACAGCAAAGTATCCAGTTGGTATTATAACACTCTCTACTTGTATATCTTCATTACTTGTGCCAGAAATAAGCACTCGCACCACTCGGGTGTCCAACTCGAGTAATCTGAGCTGGATATAGCTGAGTAGAAATAAAGTTGATACAATCTCGATCCAGTAGCTCGGTGGTATTGTGGTACTCCGTCTAGCTCGGTCTCCAAAGTTGACTCTGGATAGCCATGCTGCTTAGCCCATGCGAGATAAAATACTACTGTTTCCAAAATTGACAATATTGAGCATATTTCGAGCGGCTGTCTGATGAAAAGAGATAATTCAAGCATGTTGGAATATTCATAGGTCTTCGCGTTCCCTTATTGGCTCATGTACACTGCTAGCGAGAAGGTTAAGTCTCTTTGACAAGTCTAGGAACTAGATCCAGCAAATGCCGGCTATTACGTGAAGTGGCCGTCAGATTGTGAACCACTCTTCGTATCGGAATGTTGGTGGGAGGGTTACCCCCACTTATGATACACCCAAGCAGATCCATGAGGTTGTGATGCATTCTGCTAGTATGAATAAGAATATCACCGGGTCGGATGGTGCAGTGGTACACCATCCGGGCCGTTCTCCCAAGTAGATACTGGGTAGCTTGAACACCTACCCCATTCGAGATAGGAGAAAGCTGGTTCGAATCCAGTCAGACCCACACACCACACTCTCTCACGGTGATATCGTACTTGTGGGATGATGACAGCACACTCGGATAGCCACAGGTTTTTCACGCTTTTCCCTGTGGTGGGTATGCACGGAAGAGATTATACGCCGTAAGGGTTAACCTCGATTGTTATCTGCAAATGAAATCTGAGTGTGAGTGTTCTTATCGTCAAATTGTGTCACTCTACTTCAAGTACATATTTTCCGATAAAAACCTACATGGGCCTCGAGGCGCCAAATCAGGTAAAATGATATATATATATATATATAAGGATATCACCATCTTTTTTTTTAATTCATAGTGTATTCAGCTATCTAGCTATGACATATCTGGTTATTTTATATCTAAGTACAAATATTTAACGCCCATTTCCTCTACCTATCTTCTAGTCTCCTCCCTTTCAGTCAGCTTTGGATGCATTCATGCATCCACTGCTTTGAAGGAAGTGGAGAGTTGCTTCTTTTCCAATTTTTGTAATAAACAATATCTCTAATCTCAATGGAAATATGCCTTTAAAAGCTTCCTTTCTTTCAGTTTTAAACTTACTACAATAAAGATGTAGGTGTTGAACAGTCTGTTTTCCCTTCCAACAAAAGTTGCAAGAGTTATCCTTCACTTTTTTAATTCGAAATAAATGGGCCCTGGTATTTCCAATCCCTGTTCTCGCTTGTATAAATGAAGATTGTGTCATTCTACTGTAATGACTGAAGTTGTATGGCCTCATTTTTATTATAGGTGATCTTTTCCTGGCTTGCACTTGATAAAGCCTTCTCAGTCCTTTAGCCCTTCTACCCTCTTCCTGTCTCAAGACTTGGGTCTCCCAGTCATTTTGCCAGGCTTTGAGAGTCATTTCCTTTCCCTTCTGCTTAAGGTAAGCAATTGTTGTGAATTTATCTCTTTTTTTGACTTTTTTCTTGGCTCCACCTCTTGCCAGATTTTCTGCTAGCTCATTCCCAGCAATAACTTCATGGCCTGGACACCAGTGTAGATGTATTTGATATTTATGGCTTTTTATCCTTATTTGATGTGAAATAAAGTTGCTAGCTTTGCTGACCCTCTGAATTGCTGCTTGACTATCAGAAAAGACCCAGATCTCTCTGGCATGTTTGTTGGAGATGACATATTTTAAAGCTTTCATGATACAATATGTCTCAGTATCTGAGTTTGTCATTGTATGTCCGAGATTGTAAGAGGAACATTTCACCTATCTTGTGAATGGCAAGTATACCACAAATCCAAGGCTACTTCCATTGCTTTTTGTTAGGGAACCATCTGTGTATACAATTGATGCATGATTTGGGATGTCTTTTAGCAGAATAATGTGCTCATCCCTTGCTGCATGCTTAGAAGAATTACTTATTTTAGTATCCACATGATTTGCTAGTCATGGTGGTGCCCATTCTGCATTGCTTGTTTCCAATCTATTGCAATCTGAGAGTCCTTTGAGCAGGTGTCCAATCTTCATAAGCTGTGTATTATTTTCTTGTAGGTCATCAATCATGTCAAGGCTGATGGCAGTACCTATGGACAGCTCATCTTGAACTGAGCTAAGTAGCTACATTTGTATTGGATTCAAGGGCTGCATCTTTAGTATCCTGAGGGCATAGTTGTAGGATATCACCATCATTATTGAAGTATCTGTGAATTTTCAACATCTCCATCCACAGTTAAATTTCAGCATAGAGCGACATGCACCTTTCAAGATAAAAATATTCGGAATACATGTGTATTGATTTATTTTATTACTTGATTCAATAACTATCCGGCAAATTGGGCTCCTCTCAGACCCAGGCCACACCTTGTACAGTGCTCTTTGCCTCTTTTGTTACTTGTAAGATCATTGATATATTGCCCGTTATGAATAGCCATTCAGCTCAGCTTTTACCCATGGAATTCAGCCAACTTTTCCATGGATCTTTCTACCATTAAAAATTTAAATGGCAGCATTGGAAAATGCGTGCGCGGGAAAAAGTCTCAAAAAATCTGCGGCCCTAGCCAGGCGATACCTAGACACCGGGACCACATGAGGTGCGCATATTCATCGATATCTCTCTTATTTGCAACAGTCGAGGCTGACGTGATCCAATCTGCTATCTCCGTATCGGGTGCTGGGTACGCTCCGGAAACTCATCGGATGGCTTCTACTTCATGACCAAGGGTTGGTGTGACGGAAACCGAGTTGGTTGTGAATAAATCGATTTATTAAACTATATGAGGAGAAAAGAGAACTCTAGCTACGACTAACAGGTATTTATAAGAATTGGTCCCCTTCGTCAATCTCCAGACTGATGACTTATCCTTAGGCACAATACTTGCTACCCAGCCACGCATTGCCAGGTGTTACTTAGTTGTAGTAACGCTTCGACCTCCTGACTAGCAGTACCGCTTAGTTGTAAATATTCCCAACAATCCGCTTAGGTATTCACCTAAGCTCTAATAGCGGTCAAACCGTAACAGTTGGTGATGAGTAGAGATCTGACCCTGCCATCTGATCTGATCGTGCTTAGCTTCATGACAATGGTGATAGGGGAATGTGTTGAGAGATGAAGACGATACAGACGATACAGACGGCGAAAGAGATTAGGAATCTTCGTGGAAGTGAGGACTTTTTTACTCAATCTCGGCTCTGCAGACTCTACAGTGAGAGCTGGAGGCCCATAGGAGACACCACCGACAGATGCTGAGTTTTCATCCTCCAAACACCCTATGTAAAGGCACGAAAACTATCGTTAGCACTGATTCAGACTTACTCCCAATACTGAAAGGCTTGATTTGGGGCAACGCGCTTCAAGTTTAATATCTTTTCTATTTTCCAACGAAATGTATTCCCACGCACAGCTATTAAGCGTAGGAGGACTGTTGAATACCTGTCAATAGTATACTCGAAAATTTGAGAATATTATAATCTTTTAGAGCAGAAATTTAGTCATTCTGTAATAGTTGAATCGATTTATCCTGATTGAGATTCTGGTTAGAAGAAGTGCTGCTAGGCTGCTTTTGGTCGGAACACTCGGATTGTAAAGTTTCTTGACTACATTTACGAAATGAAAAATAATTAATACCGTTTAACATAATACATGGCCAGGTTGAATGACGCATTTCCTCTTCATGCGTCAATCCACCGTTTAACCTCTCTACAAAATCACGAAAAAGCCACAACACGATCAGAGATCCACCCCTCAAATAATGTCGTTGAAGGTAAATTACTGGTGGACGCCAATTTCAGGTTGCAGCAAATGAATGCCCGATGATGAAATCAAAATCTGTGAGGAAATATGGGACAGTTGCAGGGCCGCGAATGCTTCTGGATTGGTTGCAATGGAGGACTTATGATTGAGAGGGTAACACGCAGAGAGTTAGCAGAGGTAGTCGTTCCTTCACAATTTTCACAACTTTCTGAGGTGGTGAGCAGCAGATGGATTTCAATTGTTTTGAGAACTCAGTGGGCTCTTTTGGAGAGCGCTGGCACATCAGGTAGTCTTCCAAAAAATGTAAGGCTTTTTTGTCAACATTTACAACGTAATACCGTGTCTTACGTATCTTCGTTGAGAACACTTAATCATCGCATATCACAGAATATTATCTCAACTCCGACTAACTAGATTACCATGACTTGAT